ACGTACGTACATACTTACATACATACATACATACATACATACATACATACATGCACACACATACGTACATACTTACTTACATACATACATACATGCATATATATATATATATATCTTTATTTATTTATTTATATACACATGTACAGTATGCTTGTATACTGTGTATAAATAAGTATATAAACATGTTTCGGGAATGTCACGATGGTGAAATTTCAGATCCCTTTCCTGCACAGGTAATAAGCCCTAAGCCAGCTTACGCCCCGAAGCCCTTAACCAGAAGAGCTGACAAGTCAGCTACTCCTCTTTTGTAAGGTCGGCGCTTTCGCGGCGGCGTACGCAGGCTGCTCCGGGATCTTGTGTGCTTCAGTTTGAGGGTGGCTAAGGATCTTACTAAGGTTTTTCGAAGGAGTCTGGAACGGTTCTCTAGGGTGTCAAAGACGTTCAGAGGTTAGATTCAGAGCTGACTTGGTTCTCCCCAAAGCCAACCTTCCAACTCTGGAGGTTCGGAGACCATCTTCTTCTGAAAGTTCTGATTGCTTAGTCTTCTTTGGGAAGGAAGCCTACGTCTAAAAGTGTTTCCGGCATGGGGGGGTTTTGGCAGATGGGACCTAAGCCCCAAGCCCTACTCACTCTTTCGAGTGCTACGCCGCCTCGAAGTTGATGCATGGCTCGTCATTCGGCGCCCTTTACGGCATCCGGCAGCGACGGCCCGAGCTACCCTCTGTCCTTCGTGAAGAACGCGCAGGCGCAGCTCGACGTGGGGCCCAGCAACTCTGTTCGACTCTTCGCAGAGTCGCCACGAACTCGTGGAAGTTCTGATTTCGCAAGCATCTCCTGGTGTGGCGAAGTTTGATACAGTATAGCGGGAACGAGCCCTCTCGGCCAAACTGGTGAGATGTTTATCTTCGCTCTGGTTTTACTTCTGCTTTGGTTTTTGTTCGGTGCAGGGATGAGCCAGGGACATCCTGCCGCATTTGTTGAGTTCTGTCGGGTGCCGTGGTGTAACGGTTGTTAGTTATTAGATTCTGACATCTTTCGTACTTGGGGTTGCTGCTGCCCGCTGCGGGTTTTCTCCCGCGTGACATGTGAGCGCAGCAAGCTGCGTGGAGTTGCTGTGGGTCCGTGCCTGCCTCGTGCGAGCGTGCAAGTTGAATCGTCAACCTATGACATCATGAGCCCATGAAACATCATCCAGCCCTCATAGAACCCCTGCTTATCTTCTGACACCCTTTGCGAGCTTCGGTATAACCCTTAGAGATCCCACATCATACTCTGCAACTATGGTTACCTGGGTGCCTAACGCCCTCGAGCACTCTATTGAATCCTTATTGCCCAACAGAACCACTTCCACCCACAAACCCCCCAAGCACTAAACGCTAAGCCTACAACCCTAACCAAAACCTAAACCCAACAAAAGCCCCACATCCTGAAAGCTAAACCTCAACCCGCCAAGCACATACAGTACGATCAGGATAACCCCTGTACAGCTCTTGTAAAGGAACACTTAACGGAGCCCAAGTCGTAACCCTTATAGGACCCATTAAAAAACTAAGGCTCTAAAGGCTCAAATTCAAACGCTTTGTGCCCAAAGACCATGCCATATCTTTTGGGCGATTATGAGCCTTAGGATATCCCTGAAGAAGGAGTCCTCTTAGTAGCTCTTGAATGACCCATTGCAAGGGACCCTTATAAGGAGCCCTGTCGTGGAGACTCAGCAGGTCTCGAGATGTCTTCCGAAGACTTGGCCACGGCAGACGATAGTGTCGGCACGTCACTGAACCTGCAGGCGAGTGCAGGGGTTTGCTGTTCGGGGCTTACAGGCCGTAGGCCGTTGTGTAGGGTTTAGGGTTTAGGGTTTAGGGTTTAGGGTTTAGGGTTTAGGCCTTTGGGCTTGGGGGGTTAAGGGTTTGCTGTTCAGGGTTTCGGGTTTTGGTGTGATCCTCGAGGGCGCCGGGCCGGGCTTCCGTCTAGTACGGGGGCCATAGACTACGAAGTGGATTGGTGTTTTGGGGGATCTTCTACTACGATTGTATAGGAATCCTAAGAATAGTATCAGCAAACTATCGGGCATCTATATTTGGGCAAGGCGCTGTGGTTTAGGCTCCAAGGGTTTCAGGGCTCAGGGATTCAGGGTCTGGTGGGGTGGTTTTGAGGCTTGCTTTGCAGGCTTTACATGGGCTACATTAGGTTTTGTAGTCAGGGTTTACGGCTGGGTTCTCGAAGAGTTTACGTCGTGGTCTCGGGAGAGGGGGGGAACCTCTAGGCATAGGTTTTAGACCGACTTTGATCTCTCTCTCTCTCTCTCTCTCTCTCTTTTCATTTTCATTTCACTCCCCTCAGTATCATGGACTTCGACGGGCTTTACGGTTCAGGGCTTGTCTCTGCATTGGGCTCTTCAGCTTTTCGGGCTTAGAGTTTTGGGTGTAGGCTGGCTGGTATAGGGGTCTTCATGGATTACAAGGTTCATATTCCCTCCCCCAAAAAAGCTACAGTCAAAGGACCAAGTGATTTCGTTGGTACAGCTATGACTCACGTAACTACGTGTAAGGCTATCACTGGTTCTGGCGAGCTACGAGCCCTTAAACCCGAAACCGAAGAACGTGTATCCCTGCATCCAAACTTGGCTTGCAAGACTCTGTGGAACTGTAGCATAGGGGCCTAAATAATTACCAGTGGTCTTTTGGGGGATCCTTATTATCAAACATTCTTAAATATAATGGGCCTCCAACACCCTATTCGAATTATTAAGGCCCCTATATTAGCATATCGAAGCCCCCTAACCCTAAACCCTAAACCGTACAGCCCTGAGGGATTCTCCTCAACTTGCAAGGTCAACGCCAGCTCCCGGTACTTCCCGCGCCCATCCGTCGTGCTCCGAACGGCTGGCATTTTTTCGTTGTTCAGGGCTGTTGCTTGTGAGGTTTGTGGGGTTTTTGAATTCTGAAGAAGTACATTCTTGAATAGGTAGGCCTTTAGAAATTGCGTAAGGTGTTAGGTTTTAGGCTTTAGGGTTTCGGAAGTTCGTGCATGGCAGTCACAGTCCCTGCTCAAAAAAAAAGGTATCGGAAGGGCCTCTGGGTAAAACCTAAACCCTGAATCCTAAACCCTAAACCCTGAATCCTAAACCCTAAATCCTAAACCCCAGTGTATGCTCTCCTGCATGGAAACCCCCAAGTTCCAAGTTTGCAGCGTTTAGGGTTTAGGGTTTAGGGTTTAGGGTTTAGGTGGAGTAATAGCTAGAAGAGGGTTTTGGTGGGTTCAGTATTATAAAATTTTAGGCATAATGTACCCCCAAACCCTGTTCGAATTATGAAGGCCCCTACGTCAGGGCTTGTTGGAAGCAAGCCTTTAGTCAAATTGGGATGAACTGACTTTGTGTGTGCCCACAGGGTTCGGGTGTTGCCCCTTCTTGCCTGGAGTTCGATGTGTACTTTTTTGGGATGTTTGTGGATCGTAGTGAAACTCATCCGGCTTCGCGGCATGAGTTGGTAGCCTGTTGTAGCATCGCATCAGAGCAGAAACCCTTGTCGGACCAAAAGTGACAACCTATCATCCTCAACCCTGGTCCATGTATAACCCAACGGTTAAGTCGCTTGATGGAAGTCCTTGGGTTGGGGAGAGCCTTCCTGCAAGAAAGGCAGCACAGCGGCCAAGCGAGATTTCGATGAAGCTTGTCTCCGTAGAGAAGAAGTTGGAGTCAGGGTTTATGGTTTCTGGTTTAGGGTCACCTTCTTGTTCCGGTGTCATTATGGTCGTTGTGGTGCCTTCTCATTGTTTGGATATCTATACTGGCATAATGTCTTGAACACCCTAAGTTTGACACGCGCCCAAGCATTGAACTGCAGATTCCCAGGGACCACGACGCATGGAAACAAGCAACGGACAAGCTCGCCACCGGACTAAGCCCATGAACCGCAACCCACTTGCTTGAATGGCTGGCGAGTTTGAGCCCGAAGCCCCGAACCCTGCAAGCCACTTGCATCTTACTGAACCGAAGATTGCCATGGAAGGATTAGAATTCCCAAAACAAACCGTTGTCCGGATAGTATTGCAGTATGACAACCCAAAGGCCAAGAAACTGCTTCAGACCCCTGTTAATGCTAGAAGCAGAGTTGCCTGCACAGTCAGTTACTACAATACACTATCACACTGCCGTAGTTTTAGGGTTGAGGCACAGCGCCCAAAGGCAGCACCGCCAAAGCCCGTACAGAAGCCTTGCAGAACGAACTGTATAAATCCGGTTTAGGGTTTAGGGAACCATGTTGTTTGAACCTTGTAAACAAGCGTTATATTATAGGTACGGACCCGGCTTAGCCCAGGACGGTGCTGCCCTCCGCAGGTACCCCCAGCAGCTTGGCACAGCACAAACGACAAAAGACTGGTTTCCGGTGTCCCTAGGCTTACCTGGGCTTAAGGAATGTAGCCTAGATTTCCCCATCCTAGATGGTTGAAGTACTACGGTTTCAGCTGTGGTGGGTTAAGAATGCTCAGGTTTGTGGGTTCCTTTGTTTAGAGGTCTAGGGTTTATGGCTCAAGAGTGCAGAGTGTAGGGTTTGTTGTTGTTTTTTTCCATCTTTTCTGGCTAGCCACGACACCCTGAAAAAACCTTACACAACGCCCCGTCAACTAGTAGCGTAAAACTCCGTGTCCTATTGTAAATGCCCTTCAGAGCTTTTGTAGAACAAACCGTTTCGAACGTTATAGAACCTTGTAGGAGTTTGCAGAACGTTTATATCGTCCACTAGAACCCTTGCAAAACTCCATAGAAACCGCCCTAGAACCCTTCGAGAGTCCTCAATAGAACCCCGATAGTACCCTCCGACACCCCAAACCCTAAACCCTAAAATAGGCCTTAACCCCCAAACCCCAAGCCCGAACCCTAAGCCCTAAACCCTGTAAACCCTAAATCCCTAAACCCCTAAACCCTAAACCCTAAACCCTGTAATGGCAGGCCTCTTCCAAGTCTCGCCGGAGCTGAGGCCACCGCCTGCGCGGCGACTCCTGTGAGAGCGAGGTCGGAAATTCAGAGGCTCGGTTCTCCGTGAAGGGCTCCTTTGACGGTTCCTGTGGCGGTTTCTTACAAGGTTCCTTTATAGTGGTTCCTTTAAGGCCTTGAGGTTTAGATAGGTTTTAGGGCTGGGGGTGTTGTTTAATAAGTTTAATACTTACAGGTTCCTTCAAGACTTTGAAGATTCCTGCAACAGTTTCGGGGTTAGAGATGTCTTTCTCAAGGGCTCCTTTCGTTCAAGGGTTCAGGATTTTGGGGAGGAGGGGAGCCTTTGGAAGAGTATCGAACTACCAGCCGCCGCCAAAGCCCTCAAGCCCTTGTAGAACCCTCGCAAGACCGTAAGAGGCCTACTGTTCTAAGCCACTTAAACGCCCGACCTTGATGTTCTAAGAAGCTTGTCAATTCACTTCGATTGTGGGTCCTTTTGATTTGGGGATGGGGCCTCCTTCGAAGCCCCGAAGATCCCAGATCCAAGAAGCCTCTGTCCTGTACCCTGTGTCGTAGATCCTAAGCACAAGCAAACACAAGCTCGAAACTATAAACCAAAATTTCAAACCCTAAACCCTAAGCCGTCGGAAGCCCTGAACCTTTGAAAACATCTTCAAATGAGGCAGCCACACCGTTCTGAACTTCCGGGCCTTGCTCTCACCAGGTTCGAGAAGCAGGTGGAGGTTGGTGGCTGGTGTGTTGTTCTATGGTCTATATGGTTAGTTCTCTAAATCAGGGTCCCTTTTCGGGTCCTTTTCAGAAGAGTGCCGTACTATATTGGTGACCCAGAAAGGGACCCTAATTTAGAGAACTACACATACTATGGTTCTTGACGCGGGGTACTGTCAGGCTTCGTCGTAAGCCGAATCATACAATTCGCACGGGTCTGGGGTTCTGCTTGGTACTGCATGGGTAGTCATGGTTTGGGGGGTCTGGGTTTGAACACTGAATGAACATACGTAGTCTAGGCGCCTAATTATCAAGACTTACCAATAGTATTTTGGGGGTTACTGATTATATTTATACTATAGAGGACCCCAAANNATTCTGATTATTAAGGCCCTTATATTCGTCATGGTTTGGGGGCTACCAGGTCTGACAGAAGATATGTAGTGTGTCATGGAGGTTTGGGTTCATGAGCAACTGTAAGTAGGGTTACATGCACTTTACTGTCGCGGCTGCACTTTGCTAGCAACGGCGACTGCTGAAAGTAGGGTTTGGTTCGGAATTAGGCTTCATGCTTGGAGTTTTTGTTCCGGGTTCCTTGCCTGCTTCGTTTGTCGGTTTCGTTGGGCGTTTGCTCAGGGACTGAAACACATGTCCACTGGGTGGGTTTGAAAACGAGGGGGTTGAACACCCAACCAAAGGATGATACATAATGAAAGTAGACGCCCGAGGCCTGTCCCTCAGAGAACGCTTCGAAGGCCTTAAGGAATGTGGAGGGCTTTCAAAAAACACGAAGAGCGCCTTCTACTGTTTCATGAAGTTTGTGGGAGGTAATCGCAACCTCTTACGAATGAACTCGCCCCAACTTCCCTAGAAGCCCGGAGGGCGATGTTAGTATTAGTTGGTTTTTGGGAAATCTTACGCTCTGGCTTTGGCACCTGCTCATCTTGCTCCTGCTCTTGCAGCTCTGGCTCCTGCTCGTGGCTCTTGCTCCTGGAATTTTACCCGGAGCAAATCCAGTTCATAGACCCCGCACAGCCGTGGGTAGTCCGCAGCGATCCTTCACATTGTGGTTTCAAGCCCTTGGCTGTGAGGTTTTGCAGTTAAGACACTGGTTTAGGGTT